ATACATACACAAATAAACACACCTATTCAGAAACAGGCACACAGACACACTCAGACACAGACACACACACAGACACACACACAGAGACACAGACACACACAGACACACACAAAGACACAGACACACAGACACACACACAGACACACACACAGACACACATACACAGACACACACAGAGACAGACACACACAGACATAGACACACATAGACACACTCACAGACACACACGCAGTCACACACACAGACAAAGATACGCACAGAGACACACACAGAGACACAGACACACACTCAGACACAGACACACACACACAGACAGACACTCACTGACACAGACACACTAAGACACAGACACACAAAGACACACAGCCACTGACACACACAGATACACACAGACATACATAGACACAGTTAGACACACACAGACACACATAGACACACACAGACACACACAGATACAGACACACAGAGACAGACACAGCCAAACACAGACACACACAGACACAGGCACACACAGGCACACACATACACAGGCACACACAGGCACACATCGACACAGGCACACACAGACACAGGCACAGACACAGGCACACACAGACACACACAGACAGACACACACAGACAGACACAGTCACACACAGGCACACACAAACACAGGCACACACAGACATAGACACACACAAACACGGTCACTCACAGACACAGGCGCACACAGACACAGGCACACACTGACACAAACACACACACACACACCGACATATCGCTGAGACCCTTTTAGAGCATGTGTATCGTTATTCGGAGCCGATCCTAGTTTTGCAGCGATTTGTTCCTCAGCAGAAACTCTGCATTTTGCCCTGTTAGGATATTTGTTTGGCCCCTAGAAAACGTAAATCGTTGATTTAATATTCATCTTCTTTCTTTTTTTTTTTTAACAGGAAACCTTCCATAACATGAACTTACTTTTAAGACTAACACTTGGTTAAATTGCACTTTAAAAAAAATTGGTTTGGTTTGTCTGTCCACAAAGTAGCTGGCTGACTTTCAAGAACATTGTAAACAGCATGGACTCAGCTCCAACAACAACCTACCGGGATTTCCAAAATAAATGTGCTTTTGAATCAGATTTTGCAACCCAAAGATTGTCCTTTTACCTTCAAAGAATGGGACATTAAGTAAGGTTTTGCCACCTACAATGAAACACACAAAAGTCGTATGACTATCATTTATATGATACATATAAAACTTATTTTAAAAACAATACAATTGTCTGATATGGAAACATACATAAGCCAAGGTAACAAAATGATGAATAATAATAATGTACGAACATTAAGGCCTGACTACTTTGCATGTGAGAAAAAAAGCAATATGACTGTCATACATATATGATACATTGAAACAGCTACATTTTGCAAATAATACAATAAAAGTGCCTTTAAATAAATAAGGAGCCAACATGCATTACTAGTGCATTAGGTAACAATTATTTCTAATAATGTTATTTAAAAAAATAATTCCAACACAAAATGGTGCGCTGGAAAAAGATGACAAGAGTAGTTTACCAGCTGTATTCATCAGTTCAGACTGGCGGGAAACTCATATTCTCGAAGCAGTATCTTCTATACACCAACATTGGCCTGAGTGTAGGCATTTCCGCTGTTGGTGATGTTCTTGAACAAAGTTACCAGCACAGCAAGAATGGATCTTTCTCAAGGGCATCCTGGGATTGTACAAGAACAGGCAAGATGGCAGCGACCGGTCTTGTTGTTGCTCCCTTCATCCATTACTGGTACCAGCAGTTGGATGTCATATTTCCGGGCCGCTGTTGGAAAGTTCTTTTTAAAAAGGTGATATTAAATTATGAATTGATATTGTTTCTGTGCCTTAAATATCTGAGTGCTGGTGGCTGAAGTACTTTCCCCTTTGTTATTGTTGTAGTTAGAGAGTTGGTTCATGTTGAAAAGGGCCCCGGCTGAAACATCGATTTGCCTGTTTTGTTCACATTGTTCTCCTTCCCCCTTTCGTTAAGCTTTTTTTTGTGTGTCACATTTTACCTAATTACTTTCTTTATAGTAATCTTGTATACAATGTACAGGCACATCCGTATGTGGGTTTCCAGGGCCCATTTGGAAGGGGAAGGGTGGGGGGGGGGGGGGTAATAGAGAGAACCCTGCCTCCCCCAGGGAACATGCTGTAAAAGGCGGGACTAATTAGGGGTTTGTGAAATCGGATGTGTTGGGCTGAAAGGCTGTTGTACACCAAAAGTAGTTGTGCCAAACATTCTTTTGAGGGCAAACATAGAAGCACCACAAAGATTTTTAAATCAGTGTAAAGCACAAGCAGTGTTACTTCACATGCTTCTGCTCTAATTGTTACTTTACATGCTTCTGCTCTAATTGTTACTTTACATGCTTCTGTTCTAGTTCTGTTACTTTACATGCTTCTGCTCTAGTTCTGTTACTTTACATGCTTCTGTTCTAGTTCTGTTACTTTACATTCTTCTGCTCTAATTGTTACTTTACATGCTTCTGCTCTAATTGTTATTTTACATGCTTCTGTTCCAGTTCTGTTACTTTACATGCTTCTGCTCTAATTGTTACTTTACATGCTTCTGCTCTAATTGTTACTTTACATGCTTCTGCTCTAATTGTTACTTTACATGCTTCTGCTATAATTGTTACTTTACATGCTTCTGCTCTAATTGTTACCTTACATGCTTCTGCTCTAATTGTTACTTTACATGCTTCTGCTCTAATTGTTACTTTACATGCTTCTGCTCTAATTGTTACTTTACATGCTTCTGCTCTAATTGTTATTTTACATGCTTCTGTTCCAGTTCTGTTACTTTACATGCTTCTGCTCTAATTGTTACTTTACATGCTTCTGCTCTAATTGTTACTTTACATGCTTCTGCTATAATTGTTACTTTACATGCTTCTGCTCTTATTGTTACCTTACATGCTTCTGCTCTAATTGTTACTTTACATGCTTCTGCTCTATATGTTACTTTACATGCTTCTGTTCTAGTTTTGTTACTTTACATGCTTCTGTTCTAGTTCTGTTACTTTACATGCTTCTGTTCTGGTTCTGTTACTTTACATGCTTCTGCTCTAATTGTTACTTTACATGCTTCTGCTCTAATTGTTACGTTACATGCTTCTGCTCTAATTGTTACTTTACATGCTTCTGCTCTAATTGTTACTTTACATGCTTCTGCTATAATTGTTACTTTACATGCTTCTGCTCTAATTGTTACCTTACATGCTTCTGCTCTAATTGTTACTTTACATGCTTCTGCTCTATATGTTACTTTACATGCTTCTGTTCTAGTTCTGTTACTTTACATGCTTCTGTTCTAGTTCTGTTACTTTACATGCTTCTGTTCTAGTTCTGTTACTTTACATGCTTCTGTTCTAGTTCTGTTACTTTACATGCTTCTGCTCTAATTGTTACTTTACATGCTTCTGCTCTAATTGTTACGTTAATGCTTCTGCTCTAATTGTTACTTTACATGCTTCTGCTCAAATTGTTACTTTACATGCTTCTGCTCTAGTTCTGTTACTTTACATGCTTCTGTTCTAGTTCTGTTACTTTACCTGCTTCTGTCCTAGTTGTGATTTTGCATATTTCTGTTTTAATTGTTACTGTACATGTTTCTTTTTTAGTTTATCTGCTTTTGTATATTTATGTTTTAGTTATTCTAATCTTTATGTCCTAGCTGCTTAACAGGCTTCTGTTATAGCTGTGACTCTGCATGTATCTCCTTTAGTTTTTACTTTTAATCTTTCTGTCTTAGTTAATATCTTACATTTTATCTGTTCTAGTTGCTAGTTCACTTCTTTCTGTACTAGTTGCTACTTTACTTTTTTTTTTTTTGGGGGGGGGGGGGGGGGGGGGGGGGGGGGGGGGGGGGTCTAATTGTTACTTTACGTCTTTCTGTTTTACCTGTTACTTTACCTAATTTATTTGTTTGACTTTTCTATTTAGTGGCAAACTGAACCAGCCTATCTTTTATTGCCCAAATGGTATATTTCCTAGTTTAAAAAAAAACAAATAGTGTAAGAATGTGTATTGTAAATTTATTTCAGTCAGTGATAACTAGTTTTTATTTTCCAGGTGTCCTTGGATTTTATCATCTGTTCCCCGGTATGCGTTCTCTTGTTTCTAATGACCACTGGCCTTCTTGATAGACAAGGATGGAGTTCATTCAAAGAAGAGCTGCAGAAAACCGGAACAACCATGTGTTTAACAGACTTGCTGGTCTGGACACCATTGCAAATATTCAATTTCTATTTTCTTCCCACTAGGTACCGAATATTGTTTGACAACATAGTGTCATTAGCAATGGATACCTTCTATTCACATTTGAGGTTTGGTGAAAATTCATCGTATCAGCTGCATGTGAAAGAGGTTGCAGAATGAAAGGAACTGTCAAAATCTGAACTTTTAATATTAAAACAGCAAAGAATTGCTCAGTAAAGAGTGCAACAGTGTTAGGGTGTTATCAACGCAATGTGCTGCACTTACCGTACCGAGAAGCAACCCAAAAGACATGATGACTTTGTATCCATGTCTAGACTGATGGACATGGGGGTGCAGCCTGGAGCTGCAAGAAATGAACATTTCACTAAAGGGACAAGGCATTTCATTAACCAACACAAAACAGGCGTTATCAGTCGTTTTACACTTGTGGAGCTTTTGAGTAGGAGATCGGAGCACCTATGGATCTGTCCAGGGGTTGTGATGATAATCCTTTCTAATCACAAGTCCAGGATCCCATGTGGATTTTCAAAGTTGATGTTTTGGGCCGAAAGGCAGATATCACAGTCTAGCTGTAAATCACGACACATTGTGCCAACCAACCTATTCAGGGCAGGTGAAGAAAAAAAAGATGTCCAGATATATTGTAGTGATTTGATCCATTCTAATGCAACGTTTCTGGATTTATGACATGGTTCAAAGAGCAAACTTTGGTCTACTATTTCAGCAGGTTTGGTTGTTCTCTTCGGTGAAATCTTCATCTTTTTTTTCTTTTTGTGATCACTTCCTTAATTTACACTTTCAGATCGGTTCTTTTGAGTATTTCTGCTGCTTTTGTCAATATCTCTATCAAATCCTTCTTCAAAGTTACTTAAGCATTTCTCCTTTTTCACCATATTTGATATTTAGGAGAATCTATTAATCACTGTTTTCTGTTAATCTCATCCATCTGTGAGTGCTAGTTAGGGTAATTTTCTTGTATGTATTTTAAGGTTTGTTTTATTTCTGTTTCATTTTTATTTTTTAAAAGCTGAAATGAGAAATTGTCTCTATGACCTTGGACACTCAGTGTTGGCCCCATCCTGTATGCATTGAGAATGGTGTGTTCAATTGATAATTTTGTATATCTTTGTTTTTACAGATTCTGCAAAGTATATCACTTTTTTAAAATCTTTTTCTTGCTGTAATTTTTTCATTCACTTTCAAGAAAATATCTCATCTGTTTACTATCTGTAATATTTACAGGATATCATTTGTTTTATTTATCGTGTACCTTCACCCTACTGATCACAGGTTAAAAACTAGGGGTAAATTGTGCAATTTTTTTTTAAATAATCATATTTCATGACATTTTCAAACAGTTTTATGATTGTTAATGTAAATGAATATACTTTTGGTAAAAGAAAAATTCTTGTCAATTTTTGTTACAAATATGGTCACTAAAATAATTTTCTGTGAATTTTAATGACTCTTGAAAATTTTGTCAAAAAAGCAATATATTTCCTGTTTGAGCAATGGCAGCTTTTAACTTTGCACAATAATCCTTATCAAACAATGTCACTTGTCCTTTGCAGAATGTCACTCTCATCACAACCCATTACTTCAAAGTTCTTTTGTTTCATCTTTCTTCATGTTCACTGTTTTTAATCTAATATCTCCACCATTATGTTGGTCTAGCCCTGCTTTGTCTTTTCAACACTTTTCTTTCTAAACCAATGAGTGCATTTAAATTGGCTAATGTTTTCGTTGTCTGCTTTTTATGATTGTTTTCATTCATGCTCAAATCTTGTAATGTCACATTTTATATCCATGGTCTACCCTATTCTTAGAATTAACCTGTAACATAACACTTCACAAGATGTCTCTTTTTTCTTGATTGCTCATCCGAGTGACGCTAATGTGTTGTGCCTGTTTACAGCATATATGTTTTATTTGAGCCTTTGACAGACACATCCGACTTCTTCAGGCATTCACTTTCCAGGTTAGCATTCTTAGCCTAGTGTATGTGGTTACTTTGTCATCCCTGATCCACAGGTGTTGTCCTTTAACGACCCATCCAAAGCAGTTGTGTGCAGCTTGGTCAACTTTCATGGGAAGGTATGAGCATTCCCAAGGAGGCTTCCATAAATGCAGAGCCAATAGATGGCACTCTGACACTAGGTTCACCCATGGAATTGTCATCAAGCACATTACAGCTTAACCCCATATTTGTATAACAGCCTTCCACTAGTTACAGGCTGCATTATGGATCCATTAGAAGTAGTCTACAGACCCCAGGCTCCAATTTCCTACACAAATGAGCGTCTCACTTTTTTAAGTCGTGATTTTATTTTTCATTTACCTTCATCTGTGTCATTGTATGCCACAGAGGGCTCAGAGTTTATTCTTCCATTCTCTTCTATCCTGTGCAATTATTTCAATGATTTTCATCATTACTGATTATGAAATAGTCCATAATTCACATGAGAAAACATACTTTTAAGCAGCGGCCAAACACTCACATGGTGACAGATAAATTTTTTTGTCAAAACATGAAATTGGCTTCTAGTCGACTTACCTTACATGGGTACCAGTTAAATCCTGCGAAGTGAAGTTGACCGGTATGATGTTGACTACATCATCCATCGAGTGCCAATTGGTCTATACAAATATGGCTCAAGTCTCATATATCTGATGTGCCTCTGGCATGTAAAGGGGCCTACATTTTTTTTTAAACACTGTATTTAATCGGTTATGTTACATTCATTTTGTGGAAATAGCCAGATGTCATATTGACATTGTCATGCTGTAAAAACAAGGGAATGATATTTGTATATAAGATCAGTGATTATAAAATGTTATCTGTTTTTCTGACAGCGAGAGATTACAGTGCCAGTGTTGGTCATTTAGTTAGACATATCTCATGAATATCTGTCCACAGCCTTCTGTTTCAGATATGGTCAGTCATCTATGATACAGATGTTCTTCCAGTCATCTTCTCTTTTGGCTTCTTTTTCACTCCAGTTTTCCTGTTTTCATTGTGTATTCCAGTTTCTTCATTCTTAAATGATGTGAAAATGAACCTTTTTTTTTTTTGTAATACTGTTGACTTCTGTATCATCCTACCATGTTTTCCTTTCTCCTTTCTCTCCCATTGTATTTCAGATTACACATTGGTGTTCTGATTATTGTTGTATCAGTGTGCAGCAGACAACCATATATCATCCTACATTTCTTCTCTCGTATTCATCTAACTATAAATAACGTTGTGATGTTGTAAGTCAAGAAGGCTGGCAGAATATCAACCATATCTCTCATGTTGCCACCTGATCTATAAAACTTGAAGCTAGCTCAGTATGGCTGATATGCTTAAGTCGTGTAAAACCTTTTCACTTTTTTTTTAAACAAACTTCTAGGTTTTTCCCTTTAATTCTGAACCCTGTTAAATATAATAGTAAAACATTGTTCTGTAAATTTAAATGTACTACTGTAATTTTGTTTGTAAAGAATGTTATAGTGAATAAACATTATTGAATAAAGCAAATACATGAAACTTGGTAACCAGTTAACAAAATAAGATATTTTTAATAAAATTGTTAATTTTTACCCAGAAACTTGTTTTTTTTTTTTTTTATGTTTCTGGTAGATTTCCATCCATTGTTTTATGTCAGTGTAACAGCTGTTTAACAAAAATATTTAGCAGTCTTGGTCAAGGTTTCAACTTCACTGCACATTTAACAAAATAATTTTTGTTGTTGTAATATCTTTATAATAATAATATATATTAATATAATAATAAATTGTAGTATAGTAATATAAACATTTTCTAAAACCATATGACAAATCTTTGGACCCATCAGAGAAGCAAACAGCTGGGAATGGAGAGTGAGAAGCAACAACGAAATTCATTATCTGTTTACATCGCAGTTGATCACGGTCATCATGAGATCTGATAGACTGAAATGGTTGGGGCATATTAAGAGAATGTCAAATGAGAGAAGTAAGAACTGTATACACAAGGGAGCTGAATGGTCATAGACCACGAGGTAGACCAAGAAGACGATGGAGAGGGAACGTCCAGGCAGACCTGCAAACACTTAGTCTCACCAACTGGAAAAAGAAGGCCAACCAAAGAGATGAATGGAGGCGGGTGATGTCTGCAGCAGCGGCGTCCGTGGCTAAGGCGTTGCGAGTCTGACTCGTAATCCAACGTACCGCGATCAAAACCCACTGCGGGCTGCATGGATTTTTATCGTGGTATGGGACGTCGCAAGTCGACCCAGCCTCAAATGGGTACCAGGATTGGCTGTCCTGGGAAAGTAAAGACAGCCGGCGTAATGCTGACCACATAACCCACCGAGTGCTGATGGTCTGTAAAAATATGGGCGCTCTTCCCATATGCCCGATACACCTAAAATGCGTGGAAAGGGATCTAAAAAAGAAGAAAAAGATGTCTGCAGCAATGAACCTCAAGGGCTCGGAACACTTAAGAAAGTGTCCTTTTACTCATTGAGGAGAGGCTAGCCGAATGGTTAGAATGCTGGGCTCTCAAGCAGAAGACCCGGGTTCGAATCCTCAGAAACGCTAAGGATTTTTTTCTGTCAAGGGCGAAATAAAATCCTCATCTGCACAGTCGTGGCGACAGCACTAGCCATGCATCTGTAACTCCTCAGGCTCAAAGACCCCCTGCCTACATTGCAAAAGTGGTAAAATAAAGGCAGTTATTTGCAGTTTAGAACCCTATAGATGCCTTAGTATATCTATGTTGAATGGGGTTTCTAGGATTTGCTTGTGTGATTCATGTACCTGAAGTGTTAATTCTAATTCCTGAGAAGAACAATGACCAAACATATGTGTTAACTCTTTTAGTTCCAAACAAATCACCATACTTTTTTTTTCTCCTTTCCAAAGATAATTAAATTATGTCCTGCTCTCTACAATCAAAGACAGATGTTATATTAACCGTTTCTGAATTATTAGTTATAATTTATTCTGCCCCATAATGTTTCTGTTCAATTCCTGCAGACCTGAGTAGTTATTGTGTTTAATCTCAGCTCTCTGAGAGTGAATGAGTTAAAAGTAAAACCGATGTGGAATTGAGAGAGTTAATACTAGAACAGATGTGTCTTCATGAAAACTGCCTTTCAGGGCAGAGGGTTAATTAATTAAAGTTAAGGACCTTT